GGGAGCCGCCAGCCCTTGCACATCCCCTGGGAAGGCCTTTCCTCCCCGGCTCACACGTGTTGACCAAGCCACCCCCTTTCTGGTTCACTGCTGAAGGAGGGCTGGGGTGGATCAGTGGAGTCCAGCCACAGCGTGGAAGGGACCCCCCAAAGTTGTAGGAGGGACTGGAGATGGCATTGGTCTTGGGGGCTTCCAAAGAGACACCAAGATCTCCCTTGCCAAGGGAGGGGATGTCTTTGGGGGGCCGGGCAGGAGACCGGCGGGGGGATGTACGTGCTGTGAATGCCGGTTGAGTTTGCTTCCTTGTCTTGGAATCACCCGCCTTCCATTTCCCTCCCGCAGGGAACGACACGCTGGCAGGGTAGGCTGGGCTGACCGCCGGGGGGGGGGGGGCTTGTCCCAAAGCCACCCAGGCCACGTCTGGGCCCTTCCCTGCCGCCCCTCTTGACCGCCAGGGCAGCTGCAAAAAACAGGGGGAGGGGGCTGCTGTGCAGCGGGAAGAGAGGGGAGCACCAAGGCTGAGCCCACCTCCCCCCTCCGCCTTCCCTGGGAAAGGGTGTGTGGAGCGGGCCCAGCCCAGCGGAGAGGGAACAGCTGGGAACATCTGGGCTGTGCCCTCTCGCCAGGGCCGTGGGGCGGCCTTCTCAGCGGGAGCCGCGCTTAGCTCCTCGGGTGGCTCTGCCTCGAGACACGGCGAGTTTGGAAAGGGCTGGCTGTTTGCGGGGCCGGGGGGCGGGGGGGCAGCCGGGGAGCTCCGTGGCGGGGTTGGGGTCAGGTGTCTCGAATGGGGGTGGGGGCAACCTTTCAAGACGGCAACAGCCTCCAGGAAATGGCTGCCGCCTTCCTGCCTTGTGTCCCGTCTCTCCATTCTGGGGGGACAAGCCTTTTGGGGTGCACAGGCTTTCCAGGGGCGCCTCGGGTGTGGGGGTGTACCTCGCCTTTCGCCCCCCGCTCGACGCCCCTTGGCTGCTGCCTCTCTCATGGGGGAGGCCTGTTTACAGACGTGGCAGCCTCTCTTTCTCTCCCCCCACACAACCAGAGCCCTCACACACACACACACACACACACACCGTGGTCTTGCAGTCAAAGGGGTGCCATTTTACCCTGGAGGCCAGAATCCCCACCCCTCTTCTCGGTCCCAATCAGCACCTCCACTTTTGGCCCGGATGCACCCCAGCTTGCGTGCGTGTCTGGATGGCCGCGGTGGTCTAATCCCGGCCCCGGGTGCCTCCCCTATCCTTGTGGGCCGCTGCCTTCTCAGGAGGCGGATGTCGTGGCTGATGGGCCCCGTTGGTCGTCCGGCTGTTGGGCCGAGAGCAGCCAGGAAGCTCCGGTGGCATCCCGGCTGTTTTGACGTCCAGTCGGCCTATTGGCATTTTTTTCTCTGCTCCCGGCTGGTTCCACCTTGTGTGCGAGGAACCGGTTTTTCTCTTCCTCCTCCTCCTCCTCCTGGGGCCTTTTGTTTCCGCTAGATCGGTTACGTTGCTCCTGGGCCTCGCTTGCGCTCGCACTCGCTCGTATTTCCTTTCTCACGCTTTCTAAAGGGCGTCCTTGTGTTGGCTTTCCCCGCTTTCTGGCAGGTGGGAAGAGGACAGGGCACCGCGGAGCAGCCCTGGCTCTGGTCACTCTCTCCGGTCAGCTTGCCTTACGACGGGAGGAGAAGGGGCAGGATTGGCAGGCCAGCAAAGGAGGGCCAGGCTTTGGAGAGGGGGAAGGACAGCAGTTGGTTTGGGAGGCTGCAGGGGGCCTCCAACCTCAGAGGCAGTCTACATGGGAAGGCAAGCTGCCCAGCACCCGTGGCGAGAGAAGGGGCCTGCTTTCTTGTTCCAGGTGTTTGAAGGGGGCTTCTGGAAGGCCGGGCAGGCAGCGCTGTGCAATGCGGGGTGATGGAGGTGTTGCACGTTCTGCATGCACGCGCACGCATACACACACATTCCGGATTCAGCTTGCGGTGCAGCCTCCAGATTGGGGAGGGCCTGGGGAGGGGGCTTTCTCTCCCCCCTGGAGGGGGCACACATAGTCCTCCCCCGCTCTGCTGCCATGACTTCCCACCTTCCCAGCCCTGTTCTTCTTCTCTGAGAGGCGGCTCCCCTTCCAGGACTCCAGGACCCCTGAGATGGTTGGCCTGAGCAGTCATCCCAGGGGTCCCAATGGATTCCCTGGATTCTAGCCCCCAGCTTTGCTTTCCCAACACCCAGGTGAGGGTTGGCCCTTCCCCGGGCCCTCCTCAGGTGAGACCCTCCTTTAGCCCCCGCCACCCCCCACTCCACGGCTGCAGAGACGGGGACCAAGGAAACGCCTCTCTGCGGTTTATCTGCTCGGGCCCTTTTGACAGGGCAGGGGCGGGCAAGCGATGAGAGCAAGTGCCAGGGGCCCCGGGAGTCCGGGGGGGGGCGGGGCGTGGAGCTTGTTTGGGGGAAACCGGAGCCGAGGTTGGAAGATCCCAGCATCCAGCCACCAGGGCGGGAAGGCCTGGCTCATGCGTGTGTGTGTGTGTGTGTGTGTGAAAGCACATGAGACATCTCCCAGAAATGTGTGACTAATGGGCACAGGGAAAGAGGCTGGCTGGCTGCTGGGCTCCTGGGCTGAACTCTGCTCTGGGGAGCTGGCCCAAACCGCCTGGTGCCGCAGCCCTTCCCCCCCCCACCCCCCCCCCCCCCGATGGATAACCTGGGTTTGGGGAAGGCCAGCTGCAACCAGCAGACCCCTTCTGGCTGCCCTTTGCCCCTTTTGGGCGGAGGGGTGTGTGTGTGTGTGTGTGTGTGTGAAAAAAACACCAGTGCTCTGCTAGCAGCTCATTCCCAGCCCCCCCCCCCCCCCCCCCGGGGGGCGGCCCAAGGAAGCAGGGAAGGTACAGACCCTACCCTGGCGCCCTCCCTCCTTCCCTGCCCCTCCCCAGCCCTACAGAAGCAGCCCTGTCCAGCCAGAAGGCCACCACCTGTGCCCCAAGAGCCCTGCCAGTCTTGGAGGCGGATTCCAGTCCCTCCTGGGACCTGGAAGCAGGGCCCTAAAGGAGCAGGTAGACTGCGCCGGGGCTGCCCTCGCTCAGGTGAGCACTCCCTCAGGGAGGAGGAAGCGCTGGGCGGCTGTTCCCACACTCGGGCAAAGCTTGCCAGCTCATGCTGAATGGATGCCAAAGCCCAGACGGGCCCTCGCGGCCTCCTGGCACCCTCCTGCGGCAGCCTCCCGAGTCGCGGCAGGCCCTGGTTCCCACGGCCTCTCCTGCCAGGCCAGCAGAAGGGAGGGGAGGAGGGGGCGGCCCCAGGGCCCGCCGGGGGCCTGGTGGGTCCTGGGCAGAAGAGAAACGGAGCTTGGCATCCCGAGAGTTGCCAGGAGCATCTGGCTGGCGGGGGGGGG